GATAGCGCGGCGGGCAGGAGCAGCCCCTGCGTTCTTTGAGCGCCCCTCGCTGCCAGAAGGACACTGGGGCGCTGGAGCATGTCCCGACAAGGACAGCGGAGCCAGTGCAGGGCCTGGAGCCCCTGTCTTGTGAGGAGCGGCTGAGGGCCCTGGGGGGTGTTCAGCCTGCGGGAGCGAAGGCTGAGGGGGGGCCTTCAGAGAAACGGAGCCTGAGGGGAGACCTTATCGCTCCCTACGACTGCCTGAAAGGAGGCTGTAGGGAGGTGTGGATCGGTGTCTTCTCCCGAGTGACAAGCAAAAGGACAAGAGGAAATGGCCTCAAGGTGCACCAAGAGAGGTTTAGGTTGGCAATTAGGAAGAATTTCTCACCAAAAGGTTGTCAAGCACTGGAACAGGCTGCCCAGAGAGGTGGTGGCACCTGCACCCCTGGAGACGCTTCAAAGAGACGCGGATGAGGTGCTCAGGAACGTGGTTTAGTGGCGGGCTCGGCAGGGTTACCTTAATGGCTGCACTCAGTGATCTCAAGGGTCTTTTCCAAAGAAAATAATTCTGTGATTCTATGATTTTTAGTTAGCAGGAAACAAATACGAAACTGCAACAAATAAAACCATTCATTTTCTCAAATGCTCCTCTAACCACACGATCCCACCCAACCTTTTCGCTTGAAAGCGTGGCTTGGATCTAACCTTCTCCCTTGGGCATGGGGTTCTGCAACACACCCATTAACACCCGCGGTGAATTCGAAACGCAGACGTTAAACCGGTTCTGCCGAGGTCATCGACTGGGTTAGATTCCTTTTGAGTTTGAAACTTTTCTATCATGGCTGACAAAGGATGGACATGTTCGCCGGTGAAAGGTGACAGGCATTCCAAAAAATTTCCACTGGAATCAAAAGGAACACTTCTTGGGAATGCTGTGAAAGCACAAACTCGTCATTTATGAAGTTTTAGTATGGTGAAAATAAAGAAGTGTAAGATACTAAATTTATTTTAAAGCTTGGGAAGCAGTTTTAAATGAAATAACATACATATTATTAATGAATAGCTACAGTGAATAGTATGTAATTATATGTTAATTAAATTCTCTCATTGTATCTGCAGTGCCTCAGAATGATGTGTTCTCTCTATATATTCTCCATTTAGAAAATTTTCTTGAAAAAGAACATAGGTGTAAAGCAGAAACTGTTAAATATTTCACAACTGGAAAAAGAAAAGAGAATGAAACTACAGTGTTGTTTTTTTTTTAAATTAGGATTTCTATTCAGAAATAAACTTAACTTCAACATGTTTTAATCACACACCCTTCTGTTTATAATCTTCTCCTTAACTCTAAACTAAATAATGACACTAGCAGACCACAGTAAATTTGAGGAACTGGGATGAACTATTTCTAGGTAAATGTTAACAGAACCATTTTCTTTTACACGAAAATAATTACGTTCAGGCAAGGAGACAGTCTTCTGTGCGTGCCATCCCCTACTGTCCAATCACTGCAGAATTCAACATCACCTTTCTTATCGGGCTATTTAGGACTTTCTAATTTTTCTGTTCTCAAAGTATAAGCTGCTTCTTGCATTTGCAGCTTCTCGTTTATCTCTGCCTGTGAAGAAAATCAGAAGAAAAACGTGGTTATGATGGAGCTATCTTAGGCTGCACATTGTCTTTGTGGTTTTGACACACTGTAGCGCAGTAAGACGGACGCTATCCTACACACCTTCCTGTTTTGCAGACATAGTGGTGTTTCAGCCTGTACTTAGGTGATAACACTTTATCGTACGACTGTGCACAATTCCGACGTATGGTATGACTGCCATGAGCAGGAAGTGATCTGGGACAGCCATTTCTCATGGAACCTTGTCTTGGGAGATAGTCTAATTTCCCTGCATTCTCAGACAGCTTTTACCAAGAAGCACCTAACCGGAAAAACTGCCTTGGGATTTGGTTGTTGCCACTGTTTTCCTTTGCTGCAGATGTGTGTTCTCTAGTGTAGTACATTTATTGAGACATTGCTGGAATTAGAAAGCATTACTGAAAATGAACAATAAAAAACCATACTTCTGTGATGTTGCCTGTCTTTCTTAATTACAAACACAATCACGAATGTGTATCTCATTCTGGAAGTCCAGACTGCTGTAGACATTGAGCATTTAATTTACATTGCAACACTGGCGGAGAAGGTACAAGGGTTGTGTGAAATCTTTGGCAGTGATAACATGTAGGATCTTTAATTCTACAATATTTGGAAATGTGGGAGCACTGGAAAAAAGGCCACAAATGCTGAGGTTTTATGGGGAATGTATGTATGTTTCTCTATACCAGCGTTCATCACTGCAAAAATACCCAAGAAATGTGAGGCGTACAATGACAGCCTTTCCCAGAGTCACTAAGTTCTGTTCAAGCAACTGAACTAGGTTCAAAGGTCCTTTACACATCTCACATAAACTGTTCCAAAACTTAAGTTACATTCTTAATGGGCTCCATGTAATTTTGATTAAGTGAATGGATTTGGCCCAGAAAAGCTTGCAGTATCGTGCCATTTTAGGAACTTTTTGGCTTGCCGCTCCTAGAAATCCCTACTAGTGCTCTGCTGCAACCTATCCATGGATGGCCACAGCTAATATGTGTTCAAAGTTTTCAGTAGCTCAGATTAGCATCAAAAAGCTGGAATTTCTATCTCAACTTTGTGTCTCTTCACCATATTCAAGCCATCCCCAGGCATCAACCAATATGTCCCTATCCCTTTACACTGTACCTATACTGAGTTGCTTTGCTGTGCAACACTGACCCTCCAAGGCTCATCCTCTCCCAACCCCCCCCAGCTGCCTTTTTTTTCCTCCACTTTTTACACCTCTCTGTCTCTGATTCTACCTCCAGTGGAAATCAGCTGCCACCACGCTTCATTATGGCTGCTGTTGAGATCACTGAGTGTCAGCACTGCGATTTCAGACTGAAAGTTGTTTTCTAGACTCAGCTAGAGCAACAGCTGCCGTATGTTCCCTGGAGACACGGAGATTATGAAATCACAGTTTACGCATAACAAAAAAAATGGATGAGTCTGACCAGGTATCAGGTAACAATCTAATGATAAGGTTACTTCAGAGGTCAAGACACTGAGAAATCAGGTGAAAAAGACGCATTGGTGGAAGACTTAAAATCTAGAAGAAAATTGTTTTCTGCATATATAAGCAGAGTTGTAAAAGAAGAAAAAGCAAAACAGCATTTTTCTCATCCATGCAGATTTTGTAAAGGAGAAAAGCTCCTAGCACTGATGCTAATGAAATCAAGGTCAATTGAAAACCAGACATTTCATTTTTTCTGTAGGTAGGGAGAGGAATAAGACAACATAGGCCAGGTTCCCTCTTGTTTGTAAAGATATGTTGGCATCAGTATTCTAATTTATATTCCCTTTTCATACATAATACATGTAGAGCAATTTATCAATATCACACTGTATTCAGATAACACTAGATACTTAATAAACTGCTGCTTGGTCAACAGTGTCCAATGTGGTGTATCTAAAGTTTAAAGTGCCTAATGCCACGTGGCTGGTACAAATAAGACCCAATTCCACCAGCTCCTTGGTGGAACTGAGTTCTAGCTGTTTTGCTTTCAATAATTTCATATGCTTGAGGCAGCAGTTTACAAATAACAGTGATCTACTCTGCTGGCTTTTCCATGTTTCAATTTACAGACTTCCCTGTAGAGAGGCAGATCACCCTACAACAAATTTAAGTCCACTAACAATAGCTTCCTTCCCTTTCATCAACCCCATAGAGAGAACTCAGGGACTCCACGGAGTCTGCAGAGCCCAAACTGAAACTTGATCTGTTCCATTAAGGCAGCTCTTACATAGTCATGCACCTACCAAATGAACTCCAGTATCAACCTAAATGTGTTATTTCTCACACTGATTGAAGGATGTGTAACATAGGTGCATCTAACAATTTATATTAGGCACACATTGCAGGTGCTCCATCACAACAGCTGATCCTGAGCTTCTGAAAAGGAATTTTATCACTGCCATCACTGAGAGCAGGATTTGGCCCACGTTTCTTAACACATAATAATGCTGAAGATATACGTTTTTGTATTTTTTACTATTTTTTATCTTATCACAAGTAAGCTGAGTAAATTTGGAGTTATTTATAGGGGCTAATTCACATTTTTACAGCATATGGGATAGTGCTTTTTGCCAGTTTTAGCATGAATACCATTAAGGGAGAGCTAGCTAATTAACCACAGACAGAATTAGTGAATAGCTTTCTAGTAATAGTACCTCAAGGTTGCCAATAATTTCATTTGAGATTTCATCCACTGTGGACTTCTCATCTTCAGCAATGACACCAGCCACAGCATCTGCCTCGAAGGACTCTGCCTCTGGATGGGGCTCTTCCAGGTGACCCTCTCGATCAGACCTCTAGCAGCAAACAACCACAAGAAATGTGTGAGTTAGAGCATCCTCCTGCTCTCTACAACACCAAAAAGCATCAGCCCAAAGACATACAACAACACCTGAAGCCTGCTCTAGAGAACTGCTCTGACAGAGACCATCAGCGTCTCTCTTCCACTGCCCAGACCAAGCAGATCCTGAGGGCATGAAGTTGCAAAGGGCAAGAGCCCAGAGGTACTGACTCAAATAAATGTCCTCTGCTGACCGATTAATGCACTAAAAGAGATTTCATTCAATCTTAGAAGAGAATGCATGCTGTACTCCGGAGAATAAATGTCATTAGTTGCTGGGCTCCGATGGAAATAAATGAGGGAGGAGACTCATAGAAAATTAGCTTTAAAAAAAAAGAAAAGAACAAAACTCTATACCTCAAATTCTGTCTCTGCAGCTGTTGGTGACGTTATGAATGACGAACAGACATCCAAAGGAGTGTCTTCTTCCAGCAGAGCAGGGAAAGGAGGAGTTGCAGGTTGGGCAAGTTCAGTCACATACTGGCAGTATTAAAAAAAAAAGAACAGTAATTCAAGTTTAATTATTGCTCAGAGGTTTACTGCAGATTTTTTTAAATGGAAATGAAATGGCTGGCAAAACCAAAAAAACCCACGTTTTTCTTTTTTTACTATTCAAGTGCTCAGAAGTGGAAAGCATACTGAAAATGATTATAGATCAGCTTCAATATCTAGCTGCATCTCAAGGGGCCCTCCTTTATAATACTTGGAAAGAACAGATGATTTTCATAATTTCATAACACTGCAGCTTCTCACTCATGTGGATAATTAAGTTTAGAAAACACGGTGCTTAGGTAACGTGCCGTCTTCCCAATGCAAATTTGTCACTTCTGAACAGGGATCTTGTTGCATTTGGAATTAAAGGGCCCAGCTGATCACTGGGGTATTCTATCAAAGGAGTCAGCTGGAGTGAAGTTGTAGTGACACTGCATTAAATAAGGCCCTAAGAAAAATATTTTAATACCTGACTATAATTTAAGAGGTGCTAATGGTCCATATTTTGCTGCTTCATCAACTTGCTCCTATTTCTCTTTGCTGCAAATGTGGGAACCTCACTGGTATTCTGCGGGCATGCGAATTGCAGCTCGGGGAGTGCTCTGACAATGGCTTTTGCCCTCCTGAGCAGCTGGATGCAGCACTCGGTTCGTGCTCAGGCTCTCGCAAGTGATGCAGGAGGCAGGCCTGAGACCTCTGAAAGGACGAGGCTTTGTATTGGTTTTTTTTAAAAAATTCGGATGACAGACCATACATGCCAAATAAGGTGACAAAGGGCATTTTTGAACAGGCGAGGGACAGGGTATAATACTAAAATGTTATATTTGAGGCCTCTACAACAGGACGTGCCCACTGAGCACAGCAGGCAGAGGTTCCAGCTCTGAGTCAGGTCTTACCAACATCAGTTGGCTTGGACGGCGTAAGTCACCGACAGTAATTCACATCAGGGTAACTGCAGCTCCCAGAAATTAATTTCTTCATACCTTTGAAACTATTGCAAGGTTGATATTTGCTTATTTAGTTACTTGCTACAGTCAAACATGCTGAAAATATTAAAGGTTCTGTACATTTGTGAAAGAGATAGTGAAAACTGAAAAATAAACAGTGAGGCCTAGCCATTGTACTTTATTGCATTAAAAATCGCTTTTGTGGTCCTAAAAGCTTTTCAGAAGTTATGTTTGGACTCTGTCATTATCTTCAAGATTCTCCGTCATTGCTAAAGATTGCTAAAAAAGGCAGACATTATCACCCATGTCTGTAATCCCCAAAGGCTGGCAGAAAGATTTCCAGAATTTAATTGAGGGGAAAACCAGATTTTATAGAAGCATTGTGACTCAAATTTTACAGCACTGTGCTAGTGTTTACAGACTCACAAAAGAAATAGTAAAAAAATTTAGGTTTTGCATCAAAATGAAAAAGCCTTAAGTTAGCTAAATGTTATATTGTCTCTAAAATAAACACTATTTTCAAATTCTGCTTTCTTTTTTTTGAAAAAAACCCTAGAGCTCCTTTGATGTAGCATATGTTTCCATTTTCTCTGATTTCTTACCTTATATATTCTTACTTAAAAATATTAGCTGAATTGGATGAGATTCACAATTCCTTTCTGCTTCTTTCATATTTTTTGGTTAGTTAGTTAATTATTTGCTCAAAATATTTTCTTCATTTAGATTAAATCATTATTCCAATTATTGCCTCCAGTAAAATTTCAAAAGATGAAATAATATAAAAAACTAGGCTCAGTTTTTAAAATCAGCTCCTGGCTGATCAAATACATTTTTGTAGCATGGATAAGATTTTTAGAGGTTCTGTTTTAGAATAATATTTTTACTTCACTGCGTCCTTTTACAGAGAGCCATTCTTTACTCATCTGTTCCGTGTCTAATAATAACCCTTGGATCATTAAGAAATAACTAAATTACAGCAGAACGAGTCTGTTTAATGAGCCGTAATCGTCTCAACAGTCAGCCAAAAGTTGTCTTAAAAGACTGTGAAACTTCAATGTAGAATATGAAGTATTTTGTTTAGTAATAATAAGTTTATGAGCAGTACTACAGTTTATAGCCAAAATATAGTGACCTAAAAATGCCATTTTGCATTGCTCCTTCCTATACATTGTGTCCTTAACAAGTCCAGGGGAAAATTAGAACGAATGAATTGTGGTGAGAGCCCGAAGCCAACAAACGTATTTAAATGAATGCTTCTGATGCAATACTTTCCTTTAAAAAATACAATTAAGTCTTTGTACTTCCTTTGAACAAAACCTCGTGTTTAATAGCACCAATGGCTCTCTAGTAAAATCTATTTAAAAACAGAGAAGGAGACACAGTAAGTTTTATACAGTCACAGTGGCTTTAAAAAAACACTGCTAGTTTCTGAAGTCTGAGTAAATTTATGGTGAATTACTTCCACTGACCTACATTAAAAAATTCACCCTCCTTTTATTAATTCCTGAAGATTTGTCATTATGTGAGCGCTATTCACTACGACAAAGATGTATTACTCAAAGTGTCCTCTTGAATCATTATAACTATCGAAATGTGAGAAACAGTTTGGCAAGATGATAATGCCTTAAAATTAATTGGCAATATTTTCCTGCACACTGCGGTCCAGTGGCTCCACGAGAATTCAAACAGAAAGAAATCGGTTGCACAAGCGTGGATGGCACATTGGTGTCAGCTGCAGAGAAAAGGATGGTCCAAAAGAGACCGAGGGGAGCCCAAGTTAAGCGCAACATTCTGACTAATTCCCGGGTGCGGAGGGGTGCCCAAAGGCCACTTGAATCCTGACAAGTTCGAGCAGGCTAGAGGCGGTTCTAATGTTCAGGAGAGGTTAATGTGGGAAATACCAGTCAGCGTCACCTTTACGTTCCCACCCTAGTTGCATCCAACTGTTTGTGTCCAAACACTACTCTCGACATGCAGCCCCACGCCACATTTTTACCTCTGGAATTCTTTCCAGTAAAAGTGTGCATAAAGAGAGGTAAGTGTAAAATGTGTCTTGTTCTGTATGTAAACCCACATACTTTCCTTGTTGTTGAGAGCTAGCAAATTACCTTCTACAAATGTAGGCAGAGCAAAGACAATAAAATAGCATACAGGAAAATTTCTAAAACAGAATAATGGCAGGAAAGAAGATTGGTAAAGCGTTCTAATAAATGAGTTCCACAGATGTGGTAGTTATTATAAAATTAGCTTTGCATAACTTACCAATACACCATTACATTTTCCCCCAGATGTTATCCGTTACTTAAATTAATTTTGCTTAAGTTACTATTATTGCAGATTTTATCCACACTGTATTTTATTATTTAAGTTTCTGTGGCATAAAACAAGCCCTGGCTGATAGTATTACTTTTAATAATATATGTTAGAGGTTTTAGTATTATACAAATGGCTGCTGGGTATATCTTAATAGTCATAGCACAGAACGTCTGCTCTCAAAATATTATGTAGATTAAAACCAGCTATTTACTTACACTCTAATTCAAGTCATTGGAAAGGTTTGCAGTATTTATGTATGTGGTATGAAGGGAAACAATCTACTCCCGGAATAAATATCAGAGTTTGGAAATTAGCAAAGCTAACGTCAAGGTCAGTTTGGATTTACTAACATACTTGCTGAAAAGCAGAATTTATAGTTTATGCTTACTTATTTCATAAATGAGAAAAAGAGACTGAGGGGGTGGTGTATTTGCCTCTTTGATACAAGGCTTTTGTATCATAGAAACATTTAAAAACCACCTTTTCAGCTTAGTATTATCTGAAATCCTTTACTCCACAGAGTCTTAACATAAATTGTCTGTAGCTAATCTTACCAAACATAGGAAAAAAATTATTTATAAGGATTGAAAAAAATATCCCAAAAGCCTTGTAACATCTTCCAAAGCTTTTCAGTAGATATGGATTTGATTTTATATGAATGACAGATGTGTGTTATACTCTATATCTGTGTTGTTTCTAATTGTGTGCCGTAAAGCTTCATACTACCAGAGACCTCTACAGTCTTCTGTCATACAAATGTGACATTTGCTGTGAAACAAAATACTTAATACAGGATTCATATTAGTTTGCCATTCAGCCTAAGTGCGCCCAGCTGTGTACCTACCAATATGCTGAAATTCAGTTGCTGGAATAAAAGGCATTTACAGGATACAGTTTGTTTGCTGCCTGTATTTCATGTTGTTGAGTTGGAATGAATATGTAATGGACAGGGACACGCTGCCTCCCGCTGACTCAAACCAACTTGCCTTTTCTTTCCCCCTCCTCTCTTTAGTCTGCCAGCGTATGCAAATACAACGAATCCACCCTACCTGCCTTCTGAGGCATCATCCACCAGCGTTCCCACGGGAGGTTTTCGGGAGGCTGCTGATGTCTACAGAGATATTTGCCACCCAACTCTGCAACAACGCCAAACACACAGACCAAAGGATATGAGGGAGCACTCAAAACTTAATCCACATACACGATCTGTGCAGTGTGACTAAGATGGCAGAGCTTCCTTCTGAACATCTTCATGGCACACATCTGTATTAATATTCGAAGTAGAATTAAGATCAACAAGGGACTGAACTTGGCCTCTGAAGTACGCTCCCCAGTCGCTAATGATGCACATGGAAATTCTGCGTGCATGTTCCTGGGCAGGAGCTCTCAAACCACTATTCCTTAAATGAGACAAGAGTTCAGCAAGTCAAAGATACACTTTATGCTCTTTTTCTTGCATTTCAGAATTCAAGTTAATACATTTTAAAGAGAGTTTTCTATGTTTCTGAGCCGAGATGTGAATCAACTTTGTTGACAATACATCAGTAATTAATCTAGTCCAAAATAGCTATCTGAAGCAATTTGGTGCCTACATTGACAAAACAGGATCTACTCCTCCCCCTAGGAAGCTGTAAATCAGTCAGTGACATCTGGCCTCAAGGACATCAGAGTCATCTGAAATGTTGTAATTTATATTAATGAACATCAATATTAATTTTTAAATAA